GACTTCGGGAATGTGGCTCTCTACGAGGAGTGTGTTGGTGGGATGGTATCGGGGGACTTTGGGAGAGTGCTGTTATGGAGAAAAGGATAACACTGCTTGGTTGTTCGGTTGGAGGCTTTGAAGTTGGCAGGTTAATGCTCGGACTCGGTCGTTTTATATGTCAAAAGAATTCCTTGGAATTTTTCCCTGAGGTACCAGTTCTAGCAATCTTCGGAACTGTTAATCACTGTCAATATCAGTGCAAGTGTCACTGCCAGTGCCGTGTGAATCACTACCTACCAATGATGCCAGTGAATAAGAGTGGCAAGCCAACAACCAACTAGCAACCTTCCCACGCTCTTTTCCACCATCCCTACATTATTCTTTTTTCGCAATCTTGTCCTCAAAACCATTGCCATTACCTTCTCTCCCTCGTTCGATAAGCCCTTTATCCTAGGTAGCTAGACTTGGCACCTACCCATATACCACTATGGCAACTACTCAGCTGACTGAGTTTCCATCGCTTAGCGATAGCCGCCTACCATCAAGCGAACTAGACAAGCAGATCTTGTCGGAACTCAAGAGTGTTTGGGATGAACACTCGGACACGTGGGACGAGGAAACCAAGCGAGAGCTCGTTGATCACATCCTCAAAGGATACACCAAAGTCACAAAGTCGAACCAGATTCACCCAAGCTGCCATCGCCTCTGGAAAGCTGACCACCCGACCTTCGCCAGATGGGTAGTTCTCCGAGTCACTTACGACGAGGACAAACTCTCAACGCCCAGAGAATGGCTTCGACATAAATACGAAAACTTCGACCCCCAGTCTTGGGCAAGCCCTGTGTCCAAGAAGCCATCAAACGCCCCAGGAACTAGATGGGAAAGTGTGTCTTCCTCAGAGGAGGACCTTGGGACATTTGGGAAGTCTCAGGAACCCAAGTCTCTTCTGTCGGCTGAGGTTATGGAGATCTGTGACAACGAGAGCGATTATGACAAAACCCACGGCGACGGGACTTATAAAGACGACCACCACGACAACAGTGATCAAGACGAAACAAATGTGAGGTTCTTGGAAGCCCACTCCGAAACTTCTCTGCCAATCACAGGACAAGGCGATAACCCGAAGTAGATTCAAGGCGGTGAACGTTCCTGAGCCCGGCCGAGAACTATCACGAAAGCGTGGAACTTCTAATGCTTCTGTAAATCTCCGTACAAAGCTGCAGAAGACAGACTCCCTCAGAACTCCATCATCAACTGAGGAAGCCAATCTACGTGAGTCAACACGATCCGAAGCAAGAAATAACCTCTAATATATGAACAGCCGAGTCCTCCGATCAATCAACGGCACACACAGCCGATATCCAGGCTCACTCTCGTCCTCTGCAGTGGAAAGCTAAGCTCCAGGAGCTTAGATTACCTGTGCGTGGTACGCATCAAAGCCAGCCCGCACTCAACCTCGGGGCTTCGGCTGGTGGTCAGGCCTATTTATCGCCTAATCCGACAGTGGTTTCTTTCACGCAAAGCTCTGATGATCAAAATGACTTTCTATCATCTACAGCTCCTCGCCAGTGGGCTAGAAGTCAAGAACGAAGCTCACGCCCGAGTGCTCCTGTTATTTCTTATGAGAAGGTCGATGTAGACCCTAGAGATCGTATCTTGTATCGAGGGCACTCAACTCAAAGCGACCATGTGAGAGCCAAGTTTGAGCTGGTAGACCACCGTTCTGGAGACTCTGGCGCTTCAACACAGCGTCTGCCGCGGTCACTCGAGTGCAGAGACAACACTTCCACTATGGCTCCCCAGGGTTCCTTTGACTCTTTCGTGTTCTCATCGAGTTCTCATGCAAAAGAACAGCCGCGAACTGGAGAATCGCTTCATCTTCCTCTCACCCACAGTGAGACTCTCGAAAGTCCAGGGAACGTCTCCACTCAACAGCCATCTGGTCTTCAACAACTCCCTCTTGACGACCCGAATGAGCCATCTTGGTTCCGACAATTCAGAACACAGTATTATTCTGACCAAGAGAAGACCCGCAAACAAATTGCATACGAGATAAAACGAGAGGTTACAGGTATCGTTTTCGAGGCAGTATTAGATCTGATCCAGCCGCTAAGCAATTCTATCACTCAGTGTGTGGACGCTCTCGCAAAGCACAAGGCCAACGCCGTAGGAGTAACAGAGCACATCGAACAGGCAGTTTCGGCGGCCCAGGATCTCAGAGACATGAAACAGATCCTCAACAGCATCGTGGACACAAGTCGGCTGCAGCTAGAGACATCCCAGAGGGAGGGAGCAGCAATCCAGGGGCGGCTGCTGCCAGTCATAACTGAACACCGGAAGGATATAAACAATCTTGTGCAACGTGCAACATCAATTGAGGAACGCACAACAGATGTCGAGGAGTATCTGGAGCTTCAGCTCGCCGACGAGGGTGGCCATTCAGCCCACAACGCTCCGCAGGGAAATGAGAACGAGCATCATACGTTTGGCAATCATGAGGGTACGGGACGATATTAAGCCTCTAAAATTATGGTATGGTCTTGCTTAAATGCTAGCAAGCATGCCGTTTTCCCAGAGCGATTTCGTTTCTCCTATCTCTCGCACAGTCCCAGCATACCACGCAGCAATGTTCTCCCACATTGTTTATTTCGACTATTGTCGGTATTCCCATTGATCGTTACACGGCGATCACATATTCACTTGTTGTTTTCTTGTCGGTCTTCTTTTGTCTGTCGTCTATTGTGCAAAGATCACACGATGTACTCTCGCTGGTTTTTTTGAGTCTATAGGCAGGTCTTCAGCACTCTGTCCAATTATGCTATCTCCAACAGTCAGAATCCTTTCTTCCTCGGCTTATGGCTGGAGCGGCATGACAGTCTTATTAAGTCGTTGTATCGCAGAGTCAAATAGTGAAAAATCGGTTGCTTGGGTAAAGACTGGTTGTCTGCTTCAGACGATATGGTAGCTTTCGTATTAATATAATGTTTATTCAGGGCAGAGGGACATTCAAGACGTAAAGTTTAGACCGAGCTATCAGCAGGCAGAATGGAATTTAGCGACCATAGCAAAGCAAGCAATATGCAAAGCTCCAGGTAAAAGCTGCCAATGCAAAGGAACTGATCACACGATGCCACACTTTGAACAGTCGTCCCTATCCTAAGTTTACCTAAGCTTATCCTAAATTTATAGATCTACCCTAAGTTTGCCTAAGTTTATCCTAAGTTTACCTAAATCTTCTCTGTCATTCACAATAGACGTCCCATGTTGTCTTGTCTCCTGCCTCACCGTGTTGCCAGCCCTACTAGATCTCCCACGCGGCTGGTCCCGCGGGAATCGAGATCTGGCCAATCAAAGCGTCGCATTTAGATGTACCCCACATTCCGTGTCGACGTTCGAGGAAGGAGAACTCACCCAAAATGTGCATGTCCGACCTCACACGACGGCCTCAACACCACGAATCCAACGATATGAGCTTGTAAATCAGAAAAAAATGATAAAAGATTCACGAAGAGAACAAAATGATATCTCCGGTGCGGGGAGTCGAACCCCGCTCGCCGCGGCACTTTTAATTGCAGAACAATTGAAAACGCGGAATGATAACCGATACACCACACCGGATGCTTTGATGTTAGTCAGCGTTCAATTTGGGATCTATACAGTCTTCCTCCAGCTTCACTCACTCTCTGTCTTGCCGATTCCAGCTCTGGGATGTGAGGAAGGCTATAGACAATCGCGAGTAGGGACATCGGGTCTCGTAGACGTTCACAGTGTACCATCATTGTAGACGGAGCCAGTCTGGCGTGAACTGTCAATGAGGACGGGAATAATGAACGCTGTGTAACAGCGCAATGGTTTCACGTCTTCGCCGTCAAATTGGGTGGATCCGGTGAAGACTAGGACAGTGTTTGCGTTATCAATTCACATCCGTGAACTTCTGTGCTGGTATTGAAGAGAACACTCGAGAGAGAAACTAATCTGGTTTTGTCGACTAAGAGACATTCTTCATAATGGAAGGAATCTCAAATACAGTCGCCTTCATGGCAAGTGCCACTGCAGCTGCAAGTGAACTCGAGACGCCATCAGTGACACCTCCCAAGCCACCACAACTCGGAGAATTATCTGCACATCCTGGCAAACCTTCCGAACCTAGGCATAGAACCAATTCGAATAATTACGATCTGTTGAATACAGAATTACGAAAATCTTAACAAATGCCGACATCAAGTCTGGTCAATAGGCACGTGTGGTGACGTTTCCCCGCATTCTGGTCATATCAGGTTACTTGCTCGATCCGAAGGTCCCGTGGTCAAAGTCAACGTCGACCAAACACAATCGTTTTAAAACAAATCAAGTCAAGAGAATGAATACATAAACGTCCAAGGAAATCAGTATGGTTTGTTCTTTTTCATTGAGCTTCGTCTATCTTTCTCTATCATATTGCTCATCAATCTTTGAACGTATGCAGATTTATTTTCAACCTCCACCTCATCTCAGCCATTGCCACAGCGAGAACTCTCATGAACGAGCATGTCTAGCTCTCTAAACCAGAAACCAACTTGGAACAATCAACGCTGACAGACAGAAACAATTTTAGATTCCATAACCGATCCGACGCCGTAATGCTACTTAAGCAACGGGCTTGATAACAGCGGGGGGAGTGCCCACGTTGTTGCGGTTGCGGAAGAACAGAACACCCTTACCAGCACCCTCGGCACCAGCGCTGGGCTCAACCCACTGGCACATACGGGCGCTTCGGTACATGGCGCGGATGAAGCCACGAGGACCATCCTGGACATCAGCGCGGTAGTGCTTACCCATGATGGGCTTGATAGCCTCGGTGGCCTCGTCCGCGTTGTAAAAGGGGATGCTGCTGACGTAGTGGTGGAGGACATGGGTCTCGATGATGCCGTGGAGAAGGTGGCGGCCGATGAAGCCCATCTCACGATCAATGGTAGCAGCGGCACCACGGACAAAGTTCCATTCATCGTTGGTGTAGTGGGGGAGGGTAGGGTCGGTGTGCTGGAGGAAGGTGATGGCAACTAAGAAGGTCAGTATAAATCGCAATTGCATGATGGAGAAAGCTTACCGAGCCAGTGGTTAACCCAGAGGTAGGGAACAAAGTACCAGATGGCCATGTTGTAGAAACCGAACTTCTGGACGAGGAAGTACAGAGCAGTGGCCATCAGACCGATACCAATATCGCTGAGGACGATGAGCTTAGCGTCACTGTTCTCGTACAGAGGGCTGCGGGGGTCGAAGTGGTTGACACCACCGCCGAGGCCGTTATGCTTGCCCTTGCCGCGACCCTCACGCTGGCGCTCGTGGTAGTTATGGCCGGTAACGTTGGTGAGGAGGTAGTTGGGCCAGCCAACGAGCTGCTGGAGGACAAGCATAAGGAGAGTGAAAGCGGGGGTCTCCTCAGTGAGATGAGCGAGCTCGTGGGCCATCTTTCCGAGACGAGTAGCCTGCTGCTCGCGGGTTCGGGGAACGAAGACCATGTCACGCTCCATGTTGCCAGTGGCCTTGTGGTGCTTTCGGTGGGAGATTTGCCAGCTGAAGTAGGGGACAAGGAGGGAAGAGTGAAGAACCCAGCCAGTAATGTCGTTGATGATGCGAGAATCGGAGAAAGCACCGTGACCGCACTCATGGGCAATGACCCAGAGACCGGTACCGAAAAGGCCCTGAAGAACGGTGTATACGGCCCACAGACCAGCGCGGGCGGGGGTGGAGGGGATGTATTCAGGGGTCACGAAGTTGTACCAGATGCTGAAAGTGGTGGTCAAGAGGACAATGTCGCGGAGGATATAAGCGTATCCCTTGAGAGCGGAGCGCTTGAAGCAGTGCTTGGGGATAGCATTGTAGATGTCCTTGATGGTAAAGTCGGGGACCTCGAACTCGTTGCCGTAGGTGTCGAGCATGACACCATACTCGGACTTGGGCTTGGCGATATCGACCTCGGACATGGACGAGAGCGATGTGGAAGAGGCCGAGTGGCGGGGAGAGTCTGAAGGAGAGACGGCGGCAGACTCAGAATCCGTCACAGTAGTTGAGGTGACGGTGCGTCTAAGCGCAGGGTTCTGCTTGGGCAGAGCCGAAGTGGACGCCATTGTGAAGAAGAGAGGGGGGGGTTCACGGCCGACAATAGACAAAAGAGTCAAGAAGTCGAAGATGCCGAAGAAGAACTGTCGAAGAAAAAGAGAAAGGGAGGTGGAAAGGAAAAAAGAAGTACGAGACGATCAAGGGGGGCTGAAGTTTTAAAGTGTGTCCCTTTCAACTGTAAAGGTAAAGGTACCTTTACCTTAATGCGTGGATGCTTGCTCGGCAAGCGTTTTGTTGGGGCGTGGAGCCTGGGAAAAGGGCAGGTACCTTACTGTACGGGCTCACTGTACTGTACCTTTTAGCTGCCGCGGGCGGGACAACGGACAAGCAACCCAAAACAAAACCCTCTGGCCTTTCAGCGCAGCGGCAACACAAAGCAGAAAATGCGGCGAAAGCGGGCAATACAAGCACCAGGTGGAACGATAATGGAAATGAAACTGACAGGTCCATCCACTCCTTTTTGCTATGCAGTCCGATACAGTTTACCGCTTTTCCCTGTCTTTGGCAAAAAGATCGACAATCTTTGAGGGGGACAAGTAACATGCTGCCACAGAAAATTTACCCTGAATTACTTTAATTAAACTCTAAGTTTTCACAGTAATAGTAAATTGCTTACCGCGTGTCTATTCACATTTGGATTTTCATATTCATACAAACTTCCACTACGATACAATTGCTCCATGAAATCGCCGCTTCAAGGGAAGCATCTTGACCTGGACTTGAGTCGCGACCAAAAAAATCCCTACCCCAGAAAAATACGCTAGAAAACGGGACGTGCTTCTAACCCACCCCTGAAATGTGGCAATAGCTCCCGGCCAGACAGTGACGGGGTGGCCGTCTGATGTGTGTCTTATGTCTCGGTCGTACAGCAGCTGAACAATTCACCAGCCTGTGGTATCTCGTCTTTCAACCTGCAAGTTGACGAGGCTTGCAGAAGGCTTGGTATTCTCTGCGGAGGGGGCTGGCTGAGCCCGCGGTTAGTATTGTCACTATCACAATTAAGCTTCTGGAGGATTGTTATCGGATAAATTGCCGTTCCCAATACAGCCTGCGATGTTCCTCTTCTCTCTGCTGTCGTTGATTTCTACTCGCCGATATCTATCCGTAAAAGATACACTGATACAGTAAGCTGCCGAGACCCGGCCCCGCTCCCCAACTTCGGCCGGCGGAGCTGTGGACTTGGATAACCGCAGTGGCATGACTCTGGACTGTCGCCTCCAAAAAAAGCTTTGAGATTTTGCCATCGATGGATATGCAAGATGCTAGCTACAGTGCTTAATGCCTGCCTATCATTGCCGCTGTCTCTTCAGCCTCTTAGTCTAGATCTTCACACCGCCTGAAGAATGGATCTGCCTCCGCTAACGGGACATGTCCGACTGATACACGAAGGGTGGCTTAGATCTTTGTATCTGATACACAGAGCCCGTCATCCATTTGAGCGCTGGCAATGTCTTATCACGCATTTGGCCCTTCATTAGCGACTGACGGTGTTCAAATAAAGCGTGTGACCTAGACGAGCCTCACGATCAGGCCCTTTCACACACTTCGAATTGTTCGCCCCTCTCGAATCGGCTGCAAGCTTATGCGGGTCAAAGTGGCTCCAAGCTGGCTTAGGGCTGGAGATCATCGACATGTGAATCAGTCCCTTTTGGGTGAACGGGGGGAACCGGGAGGGGACAACGTCGACGTCGACCACGTTCGAAGGGGGGCACGCTTAGCGGCCCAGGCCAAGAGACGAGGTCCCCGATCGTGGCTGTCGCTGATTTTGTTGACGATGTGAATTAGATACGAGTCGATTGGTTACAAAAGGCGGGAGGGAAAAGCTCAGACAGCAGGCAAGGGAGATAAATCTGGTCAAGCCGGACCCCGGTTGTCTGTGGAGCTTTTGATAGCAGCGATAGAGAACTTGGGCGAGATAAAATCGCCTCTTGAAGGTATCGAGATCGTTGCAATCATGGTTGGCGGCCTCTTGATACGAATAACGAATTATCGCATAGATGGCTAAAGAGTTCACGACTATCGACATGTGAAAATGTCGTCGTTTGGAGGACCAACCGAGGTGAGAGGTCAGCTCGTGCTAAGATAACCTTAGTTGCACGGAACGGCTATCCGTCCCTTGGGTATCAAGGTACAGTGTACTTGTGAATGTCAATTGGGGTCAGGAAATTGTGTCTGGTCTGGTTTCTGTACAGCTTCATTTGCATGTCGTAGGCCAAGATGTCATGTCTTTTGCACAAACGTGGGGAATATTGAAGTGCGGCACAGCAAGAGAGTGCATTACCGGGAGTCGACCGGCTAACCTGATGTTCGCTTGACATGTTAGAGCAATGGCCATTCAGGGGTCACTCGAATTCAAGCTTTTTTCTCGCCGTGAAACTTGACTGAATTATCCGGAGCATTTGTCTGTTTTCCTTTTGGTGGAGAAACCGGATGTTCTGATCCATTCTGGTAAGGAGCAAAAGCAGGAAACCATGTCAATTGGTAGAATCTGGGAAATGCTCGAATTTTTTTTCTCGTCTTCCGTTCTGTTGGGAATTTTGTTGAGTTCCATGGGCGGGACCCCTGGTCTTGGCATCACAGTCCAGGGTTCAGAGAGTGGAGCCAGTGGGGGGATCCCGATACAGCAACGACTGGATGGCTGTGGCGCAAACAGGGGGAGGTAAATGGCCAGTTGATTGCTTGTTTGGCGTGCTTGATCATGTTTGAAAGGATGTCAAGATGGCAAGAGAGAGCATTGATGGTTGACCCATTTCCTTTTCCTGACAAGTTTGAACTTTATGGTGCAGCGTATGTAACGATTCAAAGAAGAATGGAACAATTTTAGGTGCTTGCCCCTTGTTCCCAGGGTCCAAAAGCCCCACGTGTCGCTCGCTTGTTTCCCGTTTTTGCGGCGGCTCTGCCAACCCCACCTTGATACTCAGAGCCCAAGCAACATGCTAAGCAAACATCACTTTGAATGGCTGCTATGACCATTATACAAGTCGTACTTCAATGCAAGGCCTATTGCATGATGTAAACTATTTGAGACAGTTCACTCTCAAGTGAGAGAAGGAGCACAAAAACTTTCCTTACAGCATGGAACAGAATAACTGTCTGGTCGTTATCGACATCCTCCCCGAGAGCATCCTCCCAAGTCAGATCATGATGGTTCGATATCACGAATTTATATCGGTTTCCTTTTTTCGCTTCAACCATTGGTATCATCAGTTCTTCGCAATCTGTCTTTGTTGAGAAGCTTCCCAGCTGTTCCTATCACCTAAGGTACCTCAGGGGAGAAGAAAACTTAGGACCTCTAGCCTAAGTTATCAAAATGTTTAGGACCTCTTGCCTTAGTTATGAAAAGATTTAGGCAGCTCTTGCCTAAAGCTTAGGGCTCTTTAGCAAGCTTAGGTATCTTCGCATCCTCCCAAGTCTCCTGATGTACTGTACAAAGCCACCAAGGGTCCAAAAAGTTCACCCATTACCCATTGGTTGTTCTTCCAAAATGCCAATTGCCTCTGAGCCACCCAGTCAAGACCAACGGTTGATTCTTGGCCCCTCCTCGCATCGAGGTCCCAACTCCTCAAGTCTCTCGAGCAGAGTACGATTCTGTGTCCTAATGAGATGGTTTTGGCGGCGTGTGGACAAGTTATCGAATTCAACTGTGTTTTCTCGAAACCCCCTGGGTTCGCAACGGCGCTGGGGTTCGCGGTTAGCAACCCATGTGTCTGGGTATTGCATATCCGGCCTGTTCTGTCGTCCTTGCAGTGATTCCGGTCCTCTGTTAAGCTGTTAGTATGCCACGTTCGCCTCACTTCCCAGTATATCCATACCTTGAAGGTGACCGTTGCCTTTGCCGTTTTGTCTGATTGTCGGATACGCCCCTGTTGGGTGTGTCCCGGCCGAGATGAGGGGAATCATGCGTAGGTGTGATCCTAGGGACAGGCTCAACACTCTTTCTTTTCCTTCCTGACACAATCTCGTTCGGTTCTGACAATGCGTTTTGATCGCTGCTGGCCATTGGCGAGGGAACAGCAGAACGGATAGGGAGCTGTGACACCGTGGCGCTCTCAAAGTAGCCTCTGTACATACGACAAAAGCGTTTTGCGAAGACCTTGTTCCAAGAGTCAATCAGAGTATCTAACTCTGGTTGACTTTGCGATACCGCCGGCAAGCGGCCTTCTCGGAGTAGTGTGCGTCGAAAGAGGCACCAATACTCTACAGATTCCTTCAAGACTTTCCATGTTTTCATCTTCGCAGCCAAGCCACGATCAAGTTTCTGATTCAGAACCTTGGTCCAGAAGGGCCCTTGGTCGTGGTGGAGGGCCAAAGGCATGGCGAGGTACTCCTCTGTTAGGGACAGGCACATTTGTATGGCGTGACACTTTTCGTTTGTCGTAAACGACCTTTTTCGGATGTCCTGTGGGGTTTGAGGAGTGGTGTTCCCGTTGTTCACATTCTAACGAAGTCAGTAAAGGGATATTTTAAGCAGAAGGATACAAGCCGTACATTGCTAGGACGTGATCTCGCCTCTGCTTGAGGGAAGTCGTCACTGGAGAAGATTGGTAGCTGTGGCTGTCGTTGCCCTCTTGGTCTAGGACCTATTGATAAGGAGAAGGGTGAGAAAGGGTTCTGCGCGCCGGCCTTGCTGGATGAGGCTTCTGATGCTGTCCCTGTGGTTGCTGAGGCCATGCTTATGTCCTTATAGGCGTTGGCTGAATGCATGTTTTTGACGGGAGATTCACTCAGGTCGATGATGCTGCTCGCCGGGCGTTCTTTTCCTTTGGGACTTCTCGGTGCCGAGTGAATAACATGCGTTACAAGAAGTGATATGCGCAAGGTGAGTAGGCAAGGTAGGTAGGTAACTTGGGTGAGGGCTAGATATTTTCTGCAGAGATTGGCCCACTACCTAGCTGCAGTGCCAAACATTCAGCACTCGCTCAGCCGCCGCAACAGTTCATGCTTCAGATGGGTTTAGGGCAATCTAGTCAAGTAATGTATACCATCATCTCGTTTGCCTCATTTCATAGAAACCTTACGTAAAGACTCCGTTCACGTTCGCAAGCACTCAACCGTAAAGTATTGCCTACAGCAACTCTTTATATACAGAACTCTTGTAATATTATAGCAAAGCGCAACTTATCTGTACCAATAGCGACTTCTAGCTGTCTCAGCATCGTATCCTTTTCATCTTATCTCTATGAGCAACCGGTCCTTCCCAAGCACATATACTACTAACTTCAGTGCTACTAATCAATCCTCTTGTGCTCCTTGACCTTGAGGCTCCCTCTCCAGCTGACTTCCAAAAAATAATTGTAAGCGTCGTTTTCAAACCCTCCACAAGTTTTAAGTAAACTTGATCGAAACAAATGCAAGGCGAAATGCAACTGAGATCAAAACTCAGAGATCCTGTTCCACGTCCAAATTGGAAGTGAAGTCCGAATGATGTTGTGGCGGGTGAAGAAGGGATACAATCGAGATTAAAAACCAAATATACAGTTTCACGTCCACGTTGGATCTGGAGGTCTTGGTAATGCTTTTGTGTATGACTTCTGGTCACTTGTTGCTTCTACCCTTGTCGTCGGCGCATCTCCCGAAGCGCTGTGTAGAGCATAGCTTCGCGAGCACTAGGCGTCATGGCCTGAAACTCGGCAGTCTCTTCTCTAAACCTTTCCTCTGGGGAAGGATGGCGGGATACACTTTTCTTGAATTGAAAGGGTGTATTGACTTGTCGCGCCACATCGGGGGTCAAAAAGAGGCCAGGTGATACTCCTGTCGTCTCCTCAGGCTTGGGAGCAGTGGCAGCATCCCTAGGAGTATCCCCGAGTTCGGGGGAAACCTTACTCTGGGCCCTGCTTCTGTCTTTTCCCTCGCTCTTCTTCTTGCTTACTCGAACTGCAGGACTCGAGGAGTTAGGCGGCGGTTGCGTTGTCGCGGAAGATGCGCGACCAATACTTGAGCTAAAAATATCCTCAAGAGATGGAAATAGCTCAGATGAACAGGCTGTCGATGCCGGACTGCATTGGGGTTCGCTGATTCGTTGCCTTTTTCTTCCTACGGGAATCGGAGTGCTTATTGTAGCGAACCTCTGCTCCATCGACTTGCTTCGGATAGCAAGAGAATGCTCGGCGGAATCTGGTGCTTTTCTTTTCCGCGATGTGACTTCTGGTTCTTCTTTATCCACAGAATGAACTACAGCGGACGTTGTCTCTTCCTCATTTTTTGCGGTTACGACCGTGTCTCTGTATCTCTGTTCATAGTGATGGAGCTGTCTCATGATCCGCGGAGTAACGATTGGGGTACGAGGCTCGATTGTATCTATGATGGAACCTCTGTAGTGGCGATTGGGCTCGTCAGGATCTTCATAGGTATCGTCGTCGCTTTCGTCGGCATAGAATTCGTCAAACTCTTCGATGTCATCTATACTTTCGTCTCCATCTTCATCCTCTTCAGGCTCATCTTCGAGTTTCGTCTTGACTCCATCCTCGTGAACACTCTGTTCTTGAGCTTCTTGAATTTTGTAATCAATGTCATGATCAGCCTCTTCAGAATTCTCATGAGCACTCTCAGGCCCATCATTTGCCTCGCCATGATCAGTTTCAATAGTCTGATCGTGTTTAACACTAGCCCCAGGACGATCTTCTTGCTTATCAATCACATCTTCGAGCTGATCCCGCAAGCGCTCCTCTAGACCTGGTAGAAGATCCAGTGCCATAGACATGACAGCCTCAGTGTTTCGAATCGCCTTGGAATTTTTTCCCGCAGCCTCTGTACGATTCATGAGATACTTGAAATACACCCGGTACGACTCTGGAGAGCTGTTGGCCTTCAGAAGAGGCGGCCGGGTGAGAGACTCGAGGGCCTGCAGCCTTTCCTCGAGTTTCTCTTGCGCCCAACGAAGGATTCTCTCCTCTGCGAACTTCATCAGTTCATCTTTAACAGTAGGCCAAATAGAACCTTCAAAGTCCAATCCTTGTGTTGCTTTCTCGCTCTGGGAATCGTTCTCATGGCTGGCCTGTGGGTTTTGACCGGCATCTGAGGGGCAACTGTTTCGACTTTGCTCAGCAGCTTTTTTCCATCCTACTGCCTCCAAGAAATTTCTGTTTTGAGAGCAAAACTTTATAGCATATAAGTTATTCCATTGATCGATCAGTGCCTCGAGCTCGGAACCTGATGCCTCAGGTCCATCCTTCACAAGTTTGGACCTGCGTGGTTCGCACCACCTTTCCACACATCTTTTGGGAACTTGCCATTTGTCTCGAAGCAATGACTTCCCTCTGGCTGAGGACAGAACCTGTACTTTTGATCCAACCGTCTCCTAAAACTGTTGGCTCTCTCGATCGGAATGAAGATACAAATCTTTGTGCTCCAGGCAAACTCTAAGGAGTGCCTTCTGTTTGGCCTTTTCATAGCAACCTGGATAAATCACGGTCTTCAAAGTATGTTTCTCATCAAATGATTGGCCTTGCACTTCGTTGGCGGCCATCTGCTCAGAAACACCCGGAGGACGCATAGCTATAGGGCGATAACCAGCCGGCTGCAGGTCACCTCGTCTACCTTGAGACCGACTCAGATCATACTATCACGAGCTGTTAGTACATTCTCGGAGGAATAGACTTATCTATGTCAGAACTCACGATGTTGCTGCAGTCATTGCTTTTGGTTGGCAGAGAGGGCTGGCTGTTGGGAAGGGGACCTCGGGGAGCTGAAGTTGAAGACTGTGGCTCTGTTTCCACAAGAGACTCCATAGTCCGAGAGCTATGGTATGAATCTCTGCTTTCTCCTTTGTTCGGCGCATACTTGAAAGCTTTTGGTGTCTCGTAAGCCATACCATACCCGCGTCTCAGGGAGGGCTCCCGGAACTGGCCCGGGGGATCCTTGGTTAATCGGTTATCGTGATGACCAGTCCCCGCGTCTTTTATGTCGAAGCTGGGGTCTCGGACACAGCGTTTGACTGATTCAAACGAAGGTATCATGACTGCGGTTTCAGAATGTTTGTTCTTTAGCTTTCCGACTCGAGTCTCAGAAGTAAAGACAGGTGAAAGGTGATCATCATCCATCCATGAATTTTAGTCTGGGCTCACTTGGCGGGAGGTTTGAGCCAGAGATGTAGAGTCCGTACTTCTTTGGAAAGGAGTGAAAGAAGCTGAGCAGGGGGTGGAAGGTGCTGAGGCATGTGCAAAAAGGGAATTGCGAGCAGAAGACGAGTTGAAATAGAGAAGTGAAAGTAAAAGTTAGAAATCTCGGTTGGTGAGGAGAGAGTTAAGAAGAGAGAATTGAAATATTTGTGGCAGTGGGGAGTAAAAGAGGTTGTGGATATCAGAGCTCACGGTGCGAGGCAACTGGCGGCGCAGGCATGCAGGCTGCAGCCAAGGGCCGAGATGATAGCGGGCCTGATTCAGAGCAACAATCCAGTGAATAAGAGATAATTTAGGCGTTTTGGGGTATATACCCTATGAGAAATAGCATACCATGAGCATGTGTTTAGGGCTTGACAACGAACGTACACCTCGAGTATCAAGACTTGAGAATTCTTGAGGAACTCGTATGAGTATTTAGGATCCCAACTTCGGTAGTTCTCTTATATATACAGTGACTTCCGATATTACTCCGAGGTCTGGAGAACTTAAGCTGAGGTTTGCACTTTATACCACTTTCTCATAAGATGTTATCTGAATGGGGGGTTGGATTGAACCTGATATTGGCATGGAAGTCAAGCTATAGGGCCAATACAATGCTAGAAGATGCAAGGCGTCTATAGCGTTGAACAGTTTGCCTTTGGTCTGTGACACATACAACGGCTGTGTAACGTGTTTCTCATATAGCTCATCTTCAACCTCATCGAACATCAACTCAACAACTAAGTATCTACCACGAGGAACTATTTCTTCATCTATGTCAAATTCTACTGCTAACTGATGGTCATGCTTCACTTATTTTCCGTTTATCCTCCGTCAAAACTATCCCACAACTACTCCATATCAATGTCATCCTCTTGACCAAGTCGAAGAACCATCTAAGGACCGACCACGACACCAGAGACAACCTCTTCCATATTTTCTTTTAATTCGTAACAGCATCACAAACAATACAACGCCAAACTCACAACAATCACCAAGGTACGAGCGTGCCCTCCGAATCGATAACCTGCTGTAGTCGCTGCGGCATGAAGTCAACCCACATATTGACTCTCTCCATGTCGAACCCAGCCCACACATCTTTGACCATCTTCTGGAGAGTCTCATCCTCCCAGTCCTTGGGCGCATCCAGATTCCACTGCTTGCGGTTGGGCCAAAGGCTATCAAGCGGGTTGAGGTCGGGGCTATCACCGCAGTTGTAGTAGTATCGTAGACCGTGCTCATCCTTCCATTGCTGAACCAGATTAACCTTGCTTGCAGCGCCGTGGGCGAAAGCCTCGCAGTCTTCTTCGAGGATGAAGCTCTGGGGGCCAGTAGTTGTGAGCCATGGCTTGACCGTCTTCTCGAGAATGTGGTCTTTGTACTCTTGCATGGTCATGACACCAGTGCAGTTCGGGCTGGTGGAATCTTCGTAAAAGACAGCCTCGCTCTTAAAACCGTGACCTACAGCTACCCAAGCGTGGGCTTTTCGTAAGTCGCGTGGCCATTCGGCCTCGGGAGTGGTCGCGCATGTTTCGCAGAAACGTTCACCAGGTCGGGGAATAAGACGCATCTTTCCATCGAGGCCAAACCCAAAGTGGAGCTCAATACTGAACCTGATAGCTCTCCAGTCCTGTGGGTTAGGGTACGCTTCAAGCATGCGTCTCGCATATTCGATTCGCTTCTCACGAGCCTTCTTATGCACCCAGATCCTCGGACATCCCAGACATCGTCGGTAACCCAACGTTCCCATCGTTCTGTGCAGCGTCCTGGGGTTCACGTCAACCTCAACCCCAGCTTCCTTGGCCAGTCCATGCCAGTTCAAGTTAACATTGACATAGGCGTCATTCCAGAGAATCTTCTCCATCTTCTGCTGGTCTTCCTCAGAGATCTTGAGGGGTCTCCCACGCGTTTCCTCCCATTCGGGATCATTGCGCTTAGACGCGGGGACGCTCAACGCGGCATAACCTTGAGATCGCGACAGATCAAAGTGCCGAAAGATGGCTGACTTGTTGACAGGCAGGCCCTGAGACTCCAGGTACGAGATGGTGCCTCGAACCATGGCCTTCTTTGGCGTGTCGCCATGCTTATATCCGGACGGCATACTGAGGGTCGCGTTGCCCGTTTGTCATAGAGGGGTTCTTGCGGTGTAAGTGGGTGGAGAGAATGATTGGGACGGTGGTGTTTGGATGTTTTTGTCTGCTCTTGTTGTTCGCGCGACAAGTGGTGAGGGGTCAAAAGTTGGCGGTGATCACGTGGCATAGCTTGTTTCACCGACCACGTCGGTTCATCTGTCATCGTCAATGGCGTTCGACGAAGCAGATATATTAAAACGGTGGTCGGTAAAACGTGTAAACTTACGTGTCAATTGATTTCACTTACGGTTTGCATACACACAGATGGTGTGGAGCAGATTTATTCTTTGTCTTGTCTTATGATGGATGTTAAAGAAGAATATTCTTACCCAAAGCTCAAACAAACAGTGATAACGCTTCGTCATAGATACAAAGCCAAGGTCATAAAGAGCTTTCAATTTAACTTAAACAATAACTTGGTAATAATAATATTATCTCACATTGGCCCAATGACCAGATCATTTGCGTTGCAAATTGTACTACTGTACAAGTCTGAAACGTCTGTCAACAGACTTACCCTGTACCTACTAAACAAATCCATCAAAAACCCTATGGAGCCAATGAGTATGGAGCCAAACATGCCAGAACACCCGTGATATGACTGAGCAACTTGGTGTCAAAACAATTCTGTTTGGTTCGGTCTTACTATCACGTGTGTTTGATACACGAACAGATTATGGATTCATGGCCAATGATCACGGCTGCTACCGCTTCACAACATAACAACACTTTCATGACTCCATCCGGTTTGGGTGGTGTGTTTCCAACATCAAGGACAAGATACACAAGATAGTACAGATGATCATCAAATATGTTTGATTCAAATCTCATCATCCAACCGTGGATGACGGTGTATTACGAAGACAAAACCGCTCTATAGTCTCAAGAGACCTTTCATAAGCATGCCTTCTACGTCCAACCAAATATACCCGCCACATTCCATGTAGTAAACGCCGTGAAATGGAGCAGATATGTCCACCAATCCATCTATCCAAAATGTACAGCTTGATTCTCAAGCCCCAGGAGCCTTTTCCAAACGGGTGGCCCGATCAAACGCCTTAAGCTTTTCCTGCCTCACGGACTGACATCATAAATTTGTCCTCGGCGCCCACCTCTCCGGCGACTCTGGCTGAAGAGACCTTGGCGTTTCTTCCATCAAGAATGGTCTTGACTTCGTCGGCGGTCTTAGCGCCGAGAAGTGTCATCTCTCTGCTGAGAAGAAGTGCAACAGCAGCTCGGATTAAGAGAGCGTCTCCTTCAAAGACGTATACGTCCCAAAGACGGGCTGCTTCATCTATCGCCAAGTGTTGTGTGAAAATGGCTGTCAAAATTCCTGAAAAACATCGTTCCAATTCAGCAGTAGGGATCTTCTTGGTGAGGTGCGCGTGAAGAGGCGCAGACTTGAGAGAAAGTGTCTGCATGATGAGGTTGAATGCGGATGCTTGTGCACCCGGATCACCAGTGTAAAAAGATAGAGGCAATGGGCGATTGAGAACGTTAGCGAGTGCGACGAATGCAGACGCGGCATCGGGCAAGTTGAGGAGCAGCAATGCTGCGATTGTCTGACGGACTTGGTTAGCAACTGAGGTGGCACAAGGTGTGGCTGTTGGACTTACGTTACAACCACGGACATAACCAATGTCGCTTCTGTACATGGCATATGCACTCAACACATCAACAAGGCTTTGGTGCAGTGGTCCCTCGACGTCAAAAATCCGTAGATCCTCCCACGTCTTCTGTGCAGCGTCCCTTCGAATATCCTGGAACCATCTCGCCCTCCTGGCATCCTCCGCATCGCCCTTATCGTCCTTAACTCTGGCCTCAATCTCTTGAGCTCTAGCCAGTGCTGCTTTGAATGAAGTTTCCGACAGTCCCAGTTCATTACCAATTGCTCGGCCCCAGATTTGGGCGCGGCTTCTAGGTGCGATTCCCTTCCACCATAGTTCTCTTGTCCTACGCTCGCGAATAGCATCGCTCCAACGTGGGATCACGTCCCTCTCCCAAATTTGCATCAGGTTGTCAGCTGTGCTGTCTCGTCCCTCGATCTTGGCCTTGCGTGAGGCTTCGCGTCGCTCCTCAGCCTTGGCACTTGCTGCCATCATCTTCTGATATTCCTTCAGATGTCGGCGTTCCTCAGCGGGATCCTTGGGTGGTAGCCATGAAGGTCGTGTCCGGCTGAGAACAGCTTCTTTCTCTTTCGAAACGGGAAGAGGATCGATCATGATATTCGTCTTGCGAAGAGGGGGTAGCTCGGGAGTTGATTTGACACGCTGCTTCTTGTCAAAGGTGTCGACAGATCGTCGACTAGCGTTCCAAGTGTTGGGGCGCTGATTCGCAGGACGTTTGGCTTGCTGTTCCTCCATTTCATTGGCGTGCTCCTCGAGCTTCTCCGTCAACGTCTTGGCTTCGGCGTTCAATTCCGCCAACGCAGCATTCCAGCTGTGTGCCCGTTGCTTGGCCGGGCTGCGAGGGTTGTCATCGGTCTTCCAAGTTGGTGATCGAAGAGAGCCTTGAGCTTGCGCGACTGCGGGTGTTCCATTACCGACACTTCGCACTCGTTCTTTGGATCGGTTGGGGGACGGAGAAACAGAGGATGGCCGACTGGGCGTACGCTCTTGCATGGGCCGGGGCGAGAGCGGCACATTGTCCAGAAACATGCCATCTGGGATATCATCGCCATCGTCTTCATCACATTCTCGCTCGAGGTCGGTGAAAGACTTGCGATCGCGGCCGGCCTGCCAGCTGCCTCGACGAGGTTTTTGAGGGAAACTTGGGTCTCTCGGATCCCTCGGGTTGAGCGAATAGGCAGGGCTTGGGCTGCGCCGTCGAGGGAATGGAAGAGATGCAGAGGATGGGCTTGTCAATGTCTTTGGTCGCGTAGCAGAAAGAGGCTCGGTCAACGCGCTCAAATTGGTACTTCTGGGATTGGAGGTGTATACGTTGGTCTCGAGAGTTGGGAATGGCGGTCGGGCTTTGGAGGCAGTTTTGCCTGCTGCGAGGGTTCGGCTCGAGGGGGCTTTGGCTAGAGTGGGACGAACATCGACCTTCGAGGGGCTCTTGAGGGTCACGGTGTCGTCGTCGAGGCCAATTTCTTCAAAATGGCCAACGTCGGCCAAGACGCTGCCATCGTCACTGTCGAAAGATTGGAAAGAGGAAGTCTTGGAGCTCTTTGAGGTCGTCATCCCTGGCGGAGAGTCGGGGCTGGGGAGAACACTGCCGATATCAAGAGTACGGATCATTGTCGCATCTCCAGGGGAACGGTAAATGGCTGGACGAGAGGACCTTGTCGACTCGCCCGGAGGATCTCGAGCAAGTAGATCTCTTCTGATCTGGGTCTTTTGTTCGTCGATTAAGAGTGAATTGGTTCGAGATCGTGGCTTGCGATGTGGCCGTTGTTTGGCTTGGGCGGCGCTTCTGTTTTGTTCGGCGGCGCCGTGCTAGGATGCTTGCTTTGTCGGTTTTGGCGGTAACCGTTGTTATGGGCACTGGAATATCGGGGTCGGAGGGAGCCGTTTCAAAAATGCCGGGGTTTGCGAGAACCAAATAATAGGGCCAAAATGAAGTCGTACTAAACAAGTCTGGTATGGAAAAGGGATATGGGATAGCGAGGGAACGAAGTGAAAGGAGGTCGAGGCCGAAAGTTGTTGTGTTGTGCCGGTAAGAGCGATATAATGGTATCAATCGATCAACGAGAGACTAGGGTTGAATAGCTTAAAGAGGATGGATAAGAGAGACTCCAAGTCTCATAGGGAAACGACCGAACTCGAAGGCGGGAACAAGATTTTGCAACCCCGGACAATGGTAAGCGGTCGCGGCCGGGATGACGAGATATTACCCAATATTAAGCGCGGAGTTGAGAAGAAGTGGCCTCCAAAACAAAGGGGGTGATTAGTCTAAAGTTGAAGGGTTTGAGACAAGAAGACGATTGAAGAATGAAGAAATGATGCAGTGCCGAGAGTAGAGACAAGAAGAAATAGGGAAGAAAGGATGGGGGAGAGAGATGACAAGGAGACGACGGAAAACGAGTGAGATTCAAGCATCAGCAAGGCAAGGAAGTTCAAGAACAAGAACAAGCACAAGCAAAGTCAAGTCAAGATAAACCGGGAAGTGGATGACGATCCCCAAACGAGAACGCCAGCGCAGCCAAGGAGATGATCCCACCCACACTTTTGATGGGATAGCGATGGAATGCTTGTACCCATTCATACTAAAATAGCACGCTCGTGACCTTTGCCTTATTTTTCTCAAATGTGTGGGTTTAAGTCATGGGTGTGGACATGGCCTTATCGGATCAAGCCACCTCCAGGGGCTTGCACCGTGAATCTTTTTTCGAGACTGTGTAAGACCGCTAATTGATGCAGGACTTGAAGGAAATGCAGTGGAATACTCAATACACAATCAATTTCTGTATTAATGAGTTCATGCGATGAAGTCAAGCTCCTGTTTCGTTGCAGATACGTGTAATATCATGATCACCAATTATTGCCCGAATCTTCAATTGTAGCACTAAGATCAATAATGGTCGCTGTGTAACCCATAAATCTCAGCGATTCATGCTATATGTATGCTCTTTTCTTACACCATCAACCATCTCGATATTCATGGAAGCTGCGTCTACAGTGCTAAATGGAAGCGGGCCCCTGTCAATTAATCTCGGCCGCATATGCGCGGCTAATGAACAAGCACAACCAATCATGTCTCACAACTCCAAGATTTTCAGCTCCCATGTCAACATGTAACCTCACACGTTAAAAAAAACAAGCAATTTCGCGATTTATTTATAATAACCCCTCGAAGCCCCTCTCCAGACTTCTTTAATAAACTCTCATATCGAGGGACCTTGTCAATCAACTGTGTTCAGTCTTGAGGCTTGCATATCCCTGCCCCCCTGTCCTGCGTTATCTCCAAAAATGTGACTTCATCTGTACGTGTGCATTATTACATTTTGACCGTACATCGATTCATATCCCCGAATGCCCGATCTCACACATGACATTCAACTTCCTTACTTGCTTCGACGTCCACAGCTTGTTCCGCCTCCGTATGTCCTCTGCCGTTCCTCAGCATCCGCCCGCATTTTGGCGATCAGATTGGCTCCGTTGAGATCGGAATCGGAATCTTCGGATTCACTCTCAGCGTCTGTATCTCCGGGAATGAGAAATGCATCCACATCTTTGGGCTGTGTTTTCTGCTTCTTCTGCTTCTTCATCTCTCGGCGCTTCGCTTTCTTTTCCGCGACGGTGACCTTGTTTTTGTTCCGCCGTCTGATTTCCTGGTTCTGCATGGCCTCCTCAACAAATGTGTCGAGTGCCTTTTTCTTTGCTGTAAAAAGCGGAATAGGCGAGCCTGCAAGTCTTGAAAACTTCATTGTAAGGTTGTACCAAAAGTTGCTGTATTGCTTGCTGGTCTTGATTCCCCTATGTTCTAGTTCCGCTGCTACGGCTTGTGACTCGCGCTCACTCAAGGACGCCGGCGTGGTCCAGTCGATTTCCCAGTTGTACTTTTGATTGGACTTGTCGCTTGTATCATGATTGAAGCCTTGCCTAGCGGCTATTTTCTTCTTGAACAAAGCAACTGTGGGCTTGATGGCGTGTTCTGAAACGCCATCGCGGATGATCGGGGGCTTGATTTCCTTCTCGGAAGGCTTGATCCAGTGCTTGTCTGTTCCTGGCTCTAATTGTTGCTCCTGGAGCTTCTTCTCAACTTCATCTTCAGACTCTGCTAAGCCTGTCGTGTAGTTAATGCGGGGAGGTCGCCTTGCGACAACCTTTGTGGGTGTTTCTTGTCTTGAGGCTGCGTCGTTCGCAGCAGTATCATCGGGGATAGATGGTAAAGGCGTGAAATCTTTTTCTGGGATTCATGTCAGTATGTGCACCTTACGCAAATCATGTGACCTACTTTGTTGAAGCCATCGAGCTCCTTTTGGAAGTGGAGGCGTCCAGTTCTTGGGCAGGAGTTTCGGCAATGTCATTGCCTTGGGCACAATAGCCCGCTGAGGAGGTGTTGAGTAAAGCTTCTTTTTGAAAGAGCTGACCTTGGCGGCAGTCCCGTTCTATGAGACTCTGCGCTCAGAAGGCCTGATAGCTTTGGCTTGCTCTTTGCTTTGCTGTATTCGTTCTGTAGGTGATGAAGTGGCGTACTCGTCTCCAGAAAGGGGAGAAATATCCGGGAAGGGAGTGTACACACTCTCGTTGTCACTCGCACGACCTCGTCCACCCGAGCCCTTAAGGATACCCCTCAAACCGAGAAGCGAATCCCGATGGTGAGGTCGGAACGGCGATGGTGTACCTGGAGTGTGGCTCTGCATAAGCTTCTCACCACTATAAACTGGCTGAAGCTCATAGATCGATGGTGAAAGACCCTTCTCAGTTTTGATCGGAGTGGAGAGATTTTTCTTCGAACTGCCAAACGAGTTGCTCAAATCCTTATCAGCCGAATCAAATGTGGCCTTCTCCTCAAGTGTTGTAGAGACAGCTTTCGGGGAGACGTCTTCCTGTGGTAGCTGATATGACACAGGTGGCGATGATCCAACGTTTTCATTCTCTTCCACCTCGTTGGTGTTGGCGTCATGAGACACCTCATCGTCACTTAGGTCAGGGAGGCCTTGGGATTCCTCCTCATCGTCGTCGTATTCCTTTTCGCCGTCTTTGGCGGGATGCGACTCGTACTGCTTGAGAGCAGAAATCTTCATGGGACTTGAGTAGCTCTCCTTTTTGATGTTCTTGATGTCCTCTTCGTCGAAGTCTTCTTCGTCGTCTGAGGATTGACCATACATTGAGCTGCTCTCTTGCTTTATAGCACGGATGTCTCCATCGTGAGACTCTTCATCACTGCTACCTTCGTCATCGCTGGAGTTGTATTGCTCAATGCTCTCTTTCTTGATGGATATCATGTCACTATCGTGAGCTTCCATCTTGATCTTCTTCGCTGCGGTATCATCGTGTTGGTATTCAGGCGCGGTGAAGGGCACGTCATGGTCGGGAGATGGGCAATTACTGCTGGAGAGTGAGGTATATTTCTTCGTCATCTGGCGACCAACCCAATCCCACAAAGGATCCGTGACGTGTGGCGAGGGCTCCCTCTGTTCATGGACAGGGACGGTCTCCTGAGGGGCAACCACAGGGTTGTCGGTGTTACTGGTGGTGGTGTGTTCAGTCGTAGTGGCTGGCTTCTGAACGTCGAGGGTATGCTCAACTGGTGTTGGGAGAGCTGGCTTGGCGGGGATCGTAGTCTCTTCATCTGAGAAATCAGAACTATCGGAGGGCTCCTGGGTAAGATCGATGTGCAAAGTGTTGATTGGTGTGGTGTCGCGTGCAACAGCTGGCTTAGTAGGTGTAGGACGCTTTGTCACAGAGGGAGACTGGGTCTTGCGCTGAGCGGCAACCTTTGGCTGCTTAGCAGAGTTCTCCGCCTTGATATCTTTGTCAGCTGTAGCGCGACCTTTGGCAGCCTTGCGCCTTGGGGACACTAGGACCCTGACGACCTCAATGTCCGAGTCGGGTTGATCTTCATCGTCTGCATCGATCGACACAGGGGTCTCGATTGAGTCGCCAACTCGTCGTCGCTTAACGTTTGCTTTCTGTTGTTCAAGCTGGCGCTTTTTCGGAGTAAGCTCAACCTTCTCATTGTCGTGGTCCGACTCATTCTCAATTTGGGTTACATTCTCATTTTGACTGGGTTTGGGAGAGATATGAGCAGGAGGGACAGATGTGCTTCGACTTGGGCCTGCAACGCTCGAGGTGAGGTTGGGTAAGGGTGCTTGAGGAGGCACAGAAGCACCTTGTGGCCCTCTAGTAGCTGGTCTCTTGTTCTGTCTTGCCAATGTTGTGCCTTTTGCAAGAACAGATGCTTTGATAGAGGCAAAGCCTCGGTTGATAGTCTCTTGCTGATCAGTCTTGAGCTTCTTGGTAGGTCGAGCTCGTGGGCTAGGCGCGACAAGTTTGCGCTTTGGTGACGGCTGAACCTTTTCGATCACACAGTCTGAATCAGAGCTCTCTCCAGATGAAATATCAAATGGTGTATTCGGTGAGTTTGCTTGAACTAGTTGACTTGTTCGTTTTGGAGTTTGTTGGCTTTGACTACTCGTCGGGGCTCGTTTTTGGGGGGGAGTCTCGGGAACACGTTCATTGCGTCCCTGGAGACGTCGCTTCTTCATGATTTGGGGGGATGACATGTTTTTGGAGATTGGGGTAGAGGGAATAGAGGGATGCAAAGATGCTGCGCGGGACAGTGAGGCTGATGCCTGCGATCTCTGCCTCTTGGGCTTCTGGCTTGGCTTGGCCATTGTTTGTTGTGACCCTGCGCGACTTGAGTTGGGGGAACTGGACTGGCTGCCACCTTTCACGCCTTTGGCTGGTGATGATTTGTTGCGCTTTTTGGTGCGCTGTTTGAGTTGTTGAGAGGACGGTGAAGACGAAAAGAAGTCGACAATCTTCGATTGCTCCATTGGTTTGGCGATATCACTCAGAGAGCGAAGACACCTGCCGGAGAATAAATGATGATGAATGTGCGAGTGACTTATTGGGGTTGCTTTGATATGAAAGACTTTCTGAAGAAAATAGCAAAGTAGCAGATAGCTGTATAACTGTATAACTGTTGAGGTGATGCTGATGATGCTAAAGTTGATATCTTTTGCAAGAGCGTGATGATGCGAGCGTAAAGAGTGAATGCGAGAACGTGAGCACGGAGAGGTGGGAGAAGAATTAACAGTAGAATGCAAAACAAATTGCCATTCAATAAACACAACAATAGGTAAAGGCGAGCGATCAATAATGCGCGCCAGTGTTTGTCATCGTCAACTGCAAGGCACTGTCGAAAAGGAGTTGTAGGCTGCTGGCACTGGCACGACACTGCTCATTCAAAAGCACGCATTTGTGGGAAACTAAGTGTTCGTCATAAGGCAAGGCTCATTCACGATGGTCCTTTTTTCCATTTTCCCAGCATCTATGGTATCATTACAGATCATCATGGTCTATGCACATTGACTCGTCCTCGCCGGCTACCTAAACCAGTTTTACATACGCTCTCGTCGGCGAGGAGCTGCCCGGATGATATCGTCCACACGAAGAAGAAGCTGGTTGATAATGTTAGAAATGTGTTTATAAAAGTCTTGGGATAAGTACTTACCTCTGCGGCTTCGCTGGCCGAAGACACCACAGCCTTCTTCAACTTGTAACTCTCGATAACACCGAGATCTCGCATATCAGTAATACCACCACCAGGGGTCGTCAGATCCAGGCCATAAGTGGTAAGACCATCGTAGAGAGCCTTGCGTAATCGGGCGACAAGGTCACCAGAGTCGAGACCAGCGTTGTCGGCAAGGATAGTAGGAAGTTGTCGGAGAGCAACGGCAAAGCTAGAGACAGCCAGCTGTCGCTTACCCTCAACTCGGGTAGCAGCGCCCTCAACCGCCTTGGCCATAAGCATCTCAGCACAACCACCACCAAGGGTGGTTCGGGGTTCCTTGACAGTCTGTGACAGAACAGCAAGGGCATCGTGCAGACTTCGCTCGGCCTCATCGAGGAGCTGTTCTGTGGCACCTCGGAGGACAATTGTGCAAGCTTCACCACCAGCCACACCGGAGAACTTGATGAGAGTATCTTCTCCAATAATGACCTCCTCAATAACGTCGCAGTGACCAAGCTTGACTTGATCGGGATGGTCAAAGGTCGAGGCAATCTCACCGCCTGTGACAAGGGCAAGACGCTCAATACCGTCAAAGTCAGCATGCTCAATTGACATAATGCCAGCATCAGTAAACAGCTGCTCGGGCCAGTTGTAGATAAGCTGTCGGTTGATGAAGCAGTTGATGCCGTGTGCCTTGATCTTCTCAACCTTGGCCTTCATCTTCTCCTTCTCGGCCTTCTCAAGCTCAGCAAGCTTGCTTGTTGAGCCAACCTTAACACGAGCACCAAAGATCTTGACCTTGTCGGTGTCCATGGAGGTGTTGGCTACCAGAATCTTGGCCTTCTCTAGTCGCTTGGGCTGGTTGACACCGATCTTCTTATCAAGAATGAAACCTTCGTCGAGGTAGGAGTCACTGAGTTTGCCTCCGGCCTTCTTGATGATCTGGATGTGGTTGAGGTCGGACGACTTGAGTCGGAGGACCGCATCAACGGCCAATTCGGCGAACTGTTTGCGGTCCTGGGCCAGGACTTTGGAGCTGAGTGTTGTTCGGGCAATGGCAAGTAGATCTTGTCGGAAGGCCTCGGGGTTCTTGCTGTGATCAACGGCTGATCCTTCCAATGCCTTCAGCGCAGCCTGGCTGGCTATCCGGTAGCCCTCGATGATAGTCTGGGGGTGGATCTTCTTGTCGACCAGCTTCTCCGCCTCTCTCAACAGCTCGGCAGCGAGAACAGCAACGGAGGTAGTACCGTCACCGACTTCGTCATCTTGGACCTTCGAAATGTTGACCAGAACCTTTGCGGCAGCGTTGTCGAGGGCGATCGACTTGAGGATTGTGGCACCGTCGTTGGTAACCATGATTTCGGCGGTGGAGCTAGCATCATGTTAGAAGGGGGGTTGTCGATACCGCAAGATGGGCGCAACGTACGCTGACTGGAGAATCTTGTCCATACCCTTAGGACCAAGGGTGCTCTTTACGAGATCACCGACGGCGATGGCACCGACAAAGGCGGAGAGACGAGCATTCTCACCCTTCTCCTCCGTAGTGCCCTCCTCAAAAATTTGGGTTGGTTGGAAAGACTAGGAGGGGCATGTTAGCATACGGTATACTCGATATGAGAAGATGAAGTGCTTCAACAAGCAATCCTCTCCAAAAGAAGAAACATACCATGATGGGCTAACAATGTGACTTGGTACACGGCGAAACCTATAAAAACGTAAAAGGTTATCGTCGTCGTCAACGTCAATATGCTTCAGCCTTGGGGTAGACGTTGCAGCCTTTTTTTCTGGAGCTCCCATCCAGCTTAGCAACCGCAGCCCCTCCACTCCCAGGGGCCAGCAAAGCCCACACGTGATTTGCCCCGCGGTGGGAGCCTCGAGCTTCGGCCAGTATTATCATTTCTCCGCATCACGCACACTTTCGTCGGGAAAGTTGAAGGAGAACACCAAATTTGTGCTGAACTAGGTTGGCCACCGCAACATCAAGACTCCGCACGATCCCGAGCGACATTCTGCGCCGTTCTAGACAAGCATTTGCGTGTCTTCCAGAGGTCATATCTCCCGCGCGCAAAAAGGCCATTTTCGCAAACCTGTGCTCGGTAGCCAAACCCTCCCAAACCCTCGAAAAAAACCGTACAGAATCGAGCGAGAGCGGGGCATTTTTTCTTGCACCCCTCCAACAACCAAATATCGCCCAGCATGGCGCCCTCTTTCGACCACCTCCGCGAGGCCGACCTTGACGATGACGAGTTCAACGATGATGATATTGATATCTCCGATCTGCGAGAACGATTCGAGGTTTCGCTGGAGCAAGGCTATGACAGCTTCGTGGTTATCGATGGCCTGCCTCAAGTCACAGAGGATCAGAAGCCCAAGCTTGTCAAGTTCTTGTTGAAGAAGCTCAACACAGTCGGCAAGACACGTGAGGACTTGATACATATGCCCATGGGTGACGATGGAAAGTCTTTGCGGTAGGTGACATACTTGGAACTAAAGAAGCATCGAACTTGGAGCTGATACCGTTTTTCAAGATTCGCCTTTGTCGAATACTCCTCGCCCGCTGAGGCTGCTGCCGCTACTCGCGAGCTCGACCTCACCCCCCTCGACAAGAAGCACACCCTCCGCGTCAACAAGTTCACCGACATCGAGCGATATGGACGAGAAGGCCGTATCGACGAGACCTACCAACCCCCTCACATCGACGAGTTCACCGAGAAGGAGCATCTGCGATGGTTCCTCAAGGATCCCTCAGGCCGCGGCCGAGACCAGTTCGTTATGTACAAGGGCGAGAGCGTCGGCGTCTATTGGAACAACGAGAAGGATCAACCTGAGAACATTGTTGAGCGACAGCACTGGACTGAGACATTTGTCCAGTGGTCTCCTCTCGGCACGTACCTCACCTCTGTCCATGCCCAGGGTGTCCAGCTTTGGGGCGGTCCTTCGTGGACGCGACAGGCCCGATTCGCTCACCCCTTCGTGAACCTGGTCGCTTTCTCTCCTGGTGAGAAGTACATCGTCACCTGGTCTAACCGCCCTATCTCCATCCCCGACGAGGGCCACCCTGCCCTTTCGATCGACGACCATGGCAAGAACTACGTGATCTGGGACATTGCTACTGCTGCTCCTCTGCGATCTTTCGCCAACCTCGAGCCCCCCAAGGTTGAGGAAGGCAAGGCCCCGCCTAAGATGCAGTGGCCTGCCTTCAAGTGGTCTGCTGATGACAAGTACGTTGCTCGCCTGAACCCCGGCCAGTCTATCTCCGTATACGAACTCCCCCGCATGAACCTTCTCGATAAGACCTCCATCAAGATCGAGGGTGTTGTAGACTTCGACTGGGCTCCTGCTACCCCCAAGCGAGATGGTGTCAAGGACTATGAGCAGCTGTTCTGCTACTGGACTCCTGAAATTGGCAGCAACCCCGCCAAGGTCGGCTTGATGAGCATTCCCTCAAAACAGGTCGTTCGATCCCTGAACCTCTTCAGCGTTAGCGACGCTAAGCTTCATTGGCAATCCGAGGCTGCCTACATTTGCGTTAAGGTCGACAGACACTCCAAGTCGAAGAAGTCTCAAGCAACCACACTCGAGATTTTCCGTGTCAAGGAGAAGGGTGTCCCTGTTGAGGTCGTTGACACTATTAAGGATACCGTTATCAACTTTGCCTGGGAGCCCAAGGGTGACAGGTTTGCCATCATCTCCACAACCGAGCCCGTGGGCGTTACTGCTGTCCCACCCAAGACTGCAGTTTCTTTCTTCTGCCCTGAGAAGGCCAAGAAGGGCCAACAAGTGGGTAACTTCAAGCACCTCCGAACGCTTGACAAGAAGAACAGCAACGCCATCTACTGGTCACCCCGCGGTCGCTTTGTTGTTATTGCTACCATTGCCAACCAGCAGAGCTCGGATCTCGACTTCTTCGACCTTGATTTCGAGGGCGAGAAGCCCGAGTCCGACAAGGACCTTACTGCCAACCTCCAGGCTATGAACACCGCCGACCACTACGGTGTCACAGATGTTGAGTGGGACCCTTCAGGCCGATTCGTCGCCTCATGGGCTTCCGCTTGGAAGCACTCGGTATGCTCCATCTATCAAACTTACTATGATATATATACTGACCTGATCTAGATGGAAAACGGATACCACATTTACGATTTCAAGGGTGAGGCTCTGCGAGAAGAGCCCCTTGAGAAGTTCAAGCAGTTCTCATGGCGCCCTCGGCCCGCAACTCTGCTCACCAAGGAGGAGCAGAAGGCTGTGCGCAAGAACCTTCGAGAATACAGCCGCGTCTTTGAGCAAGAAGATGCTGACCGTGGTGCTTCTGCTGACTTGGCTGTGGTTGAGGCTCGCCGACACATGCTCGAGGAGTGGTACAACTGGCGGGAGTCTGTTGAGGCCGAGATTCTGGAAGAGCGCGAAGCTCTTGGCCTACCAAAGGATCCCCATGCTCCTCTGCTAGAGGCTTACACAAAGTCTCTCGAGGGCTTAACATCGGATGCGGATCGGGTGATTGAGGAGATTGTGGAGGAGGTTCTTGAGGAGAGTGAGGAGATCCTCGCATAGACGTCTTCACTGCATTTGCATGGGAGTGATTTGCTTGTATCTCGGTAGAAAAACTGGTTAGGGCGAGGGGTCACGTAATGAAATTCATTGTCATGTTCACACGAGAGATAGGTCCAGCTCCTTGGACTTTCTAAAAGCATTTCGGAGTATTCTCCGTTCATACATATCACTTGCTCCTCACTGTTTGCTAAGTGATACGACGTAGTTGTCTTGGTCACAAATCCGTTTCTGAACACATTCATCTCAATCGCTTGTCTACCTATCCACGATGCATAACAATATCTTCTGGCCCAAGACAGCAGCTGAAAATCTTGGCTTTTCCGGGGGGGATCTTGTCAAACTCACACTCTCAACAACAAACTTGTTTGTTCCAGCACCAAGGCAACTTGTTTTCATACTCGAATGTTTGCCAAGAGAACATGAGAGGCTGTCTCGGCACTTCCAACCATTCTTAGCAATCTCTTGATGTCTCTACTGTCCTCGATATTCGCTTTCGTACGGAGTACATATCTACGTTTCCCTGACGGCCAGCCTCTCTTCTTGGCGATGTCCTCAATGTGCTTGATGCCAAGATATCACAAAAACAAATCTGCCGTCCAAAAGCCCTACAACGAACCGTGATATCCGTCCCAGCTCGGCGATGACTTTGGGGCGGCATACAGGTCTCGGGTGTTTGTCGCACGCAGCCTGCCCAAATCGGACTGCAACCGCTAGGGGCCATACATTTCCGCCACTTCATATTAAATGTCCTCAGATTAATACATATAAACATCAATACTAAATCTTTCCACGAGTGAGCTGATAGCGGCTCGTATTCAAGAAAGGGGCAGACCTGGTCATGAACTGGGTTATTTAATGTGTCAAGCGGTCTGCTTGCGACTGGGCTCATCACTCCAAAACTCAGCTCTCCGTACTTGTCATTAATTGTACCTTGCCTATATCAGATTACTCCTACGATATCGCGTCTTCAGATAGTATTCGAGCGAACACGACTTTATATTTGCCTGTGTCATCAATATTTCAAACTCCTGCCCGAACCATTGCTCAGTTCTCCCTGCATGATGCGCGACGCCCTCCTTATTCTCAGTGGCATTACTGCCATAGCCACAACATATGCTTCTCCGGTAGCTTCATCAACGACTTCAATAATTACTTCGCCTGTCGCCACATCAATACCTGATCCAGTTGCGCCTCCCGTTTTCGCAGCTGTTACAACTCCAGAGGATATATACGCGGTCATTCGAGAGGTCAGCCGTTTAGCATCTGACATATATTTTACTGCCAGTAATATTGGAGGCCATGGTGTAGAAGTCGGAATAATAGGGGTACTACAGGTTTTCCTTATTTACTTGACATGTAACTGACCTGTTGGAAGAATACATACCTCCGATGTCGAGATATGATTGAAGGGGTCCAGCAGGCGTTCGACAAGGTCGGCGGTCGGCCCCAAACCCCTTTCTCGTATGAGAATCAAAAGGGTATTTGTTCCATGTTCGACTTAGTACGTAACATATCTGCAGTTCTCGTTGCGAGACATGACAGATGATTTGGAGCGACTCTTGATCAACTGATACTGACATTCCTTTCCAGTTCGGCATCAACCAATCAAAGCTCATCACAATGTTAGTGAGAGATCTGGAGAGTATATCGAGGGACGGCTTTATCGACCACTTTGGGGATTGCTTCCAGCGACTTCAACCTGCACTGAACATGTTTATTGAAGAACTGGCATCTTATGCGCCTGATTGTGAGTTCGAGATGCTGAGGAGAAAGGACCAGCTTGAGGTTGGGTTGAGTAGTGCACTGGGAAGGGTGCTGGACTATCGGGCGGGACGTGCCCCAGACCGCATTCCTTTGTCATTAGACTGAGGTCATCATATTGGCTCTTTTTTTTACAATTATGACTTATCAACTTGATCTTGATGGCTGCTGAGCTTCTGTCCGATTTGACGACCATCTCCCTCGATAATGGATCAAACCGCAGTGAGGTTGCGACTCGGTTGGCGTTCATGGATTACAACCAGTCACACTTTGATAAGGGAGCGAGCCCTATCTGAGAACACACAGATGAGTAAATCATGTAGGGGGATTATTATGCTATTACAAAAAACGAAACAC